TCCAACAGTGCGCGAAATTACTATTGATGTGTGCACTAATAGTTATTCATTAGTTGTCATTTCAATAGTGCCACAAGTTTTTTTCCGTAAGGGATACTTTTATCACTTTCTTGATTTTAGAAAATTGTAATTAGTGGTATTATTGCGTAGATATATTTTTCCAAAAAAATAAATATTTCTAAATTTCGGAAATATAGAAAATAGAAATTTCGATAAATTTTTATTTTCAGTAAAAATTTGTACTTATTTGTAGAAATATTTTCCGTTAGGAAAATATTAGGTGGTAGATTTTTGTAGAAACTTGTAATATTAAATAAAAAAGTAAAAATTTTAATAAACCATAATTGAATTAGATTTTGAAGTTAGAAAAACAAATCTTTTTGTTGATACACGTAGAAAATTGTTGTATTTTAGGGAAAATTAAAAACTGATTCGGATTCAAAGTTCAATAATTTTATAATACGTAGATTCTGGTAAATTTCTATAGTTATTTATAAATAATTGTAGTATTCTACAAGTAGATGTTTTAAGTACTTAAAATCTTGTTGTTTTTTCATTTTTTAAATTTGTAAATTTTTATACTATTTTCTAAAAAATTGTGGATTTTCATAGAATACTACTACTTTTATCATTTTCTTGATTTTAGAAAATTGTAATTTGTGGTATTATTGCGTAGATGTTTCTACCTTAAAATAAATATTTTTACAAAAATATACAAATTTATACGAAATAATAAAAATTTCTACAAAATTTCTATTATTGTAGCTTTTTGTAGTTATTCATCAAAATTTTTTCCGCCAGGGTTATACAAAAGCGAAGAACCTTAATTAAATTTATCCTTAATATATATATTTGTACTGTTAACAGGTACCTATGATCTGCCTTTCCTGTTAGCCGGCGTTCCACCGATAATGGGAGCGTTATCGATGTTCTTAATAAGGTGCATTAAACAAAACAACGATGAAAATATAAGCGATTCCGAGAATCCCCCGAGCAAGACAGATTGCCAGAATGGTCGGTAAAAGCAGGTATCTGTATATTATCAATTTTATTCATTATAATGGGTTTGGTCCTGGATATTGCTAAACAAAGTAGTGTAGCCTTTAATAGGTCTTCATGTTTTTGTTTGAAGAATGATTTAACACTTCGTAATGTGTAACATTCCGCGTATATATTTGTTGCAATAAGATAGTATTGTTAAATATTGTTATTTGTTGCTTTCGTGTAAATGTGTTTAGTTAGACTTGAATGTGTCGTCATCGTCATACGCTTGTTGATATTTAATTATATTTTGTACTTTAAAAATTATGAAATTTGCAGGAAAAATGGGGAATAATAATTTCTCACAAGCGATCACCGTCGAGCAAAAATGCGAATCAGCGGTGCAAGAGAAGTACAGTGCGATGTGCAAAACCCCGCCGCCACCGTCTCAGCGCTATTATATCAAGCATTCGGCTGAATTGCAAAATGGTTTCGCACACAATAGCTACCAATACAAGTACGCCAATTGCTGTAGATATTCGGAGAGCGTACCGTTGCTTTACGGAGAGAGGATCTCACGATGTCCGAGCGCAAGTTTCTCTTAACACATCATCGATTCACTTGTTGATTTTAAACTTGCATTTTGACACTGCAAATTCTTTCGCTCTGAGAAATTTCATCGTTTGTTATTCACCTGGTAAATGAAGTTAAACACGGAATCTGTTGAGGAATATTGTTTCTTTTTTTTATGATAAGTGCACAAAAAGCTAGATATATATATCAATTTTTACACACAAAAATATGTAGATTATATTAATTTTTACTTAGATATATTAATTTTTACTTAGAATCAAACTTTTTAACTTTCTGCATTTTCTGGAAAATAGCAATAATTATTCTATCAATTTTAGCGTGTTCTAAAACGTGTACCTAGTTTTGGAAAAACGTACTTATCGAAATGATCGAATTAAGCTTTCCCACTACAGAGATATATTTTTGAGAGTATATATGGCAAAACATCGAATATTAAAGAAAAGAGAGAAATACTTTAATCGTATATTTATTAGAATTGCATATTTAGATTAAAAAGAAATTATGTCATGCAAGTGAAATGTGAGAGATTGTTCCAATTAAAACGTGCCTATAGTAAAAAAATTAATGTGATTGTAGCAAAACAATGATTTTTTATTCGATAAAATAGCGATAAGGGTAGTTATTTTGCTCGATATTCAATTTTATAAAAATAACAAAAAAAGAATGAAACAATAAAAAAGTTAATGTTTCGATCGATTTTTTCAAAATCAATCAGTCTGTGAGGCTGCGAACATGACGCATTTATGGCAAATATATCATCAACGATTTACTGATTTAATAATAAAATTTCGCAAATATTTGTCAGATGTAATAATAATGTTAAAGTATTGAATTAAGGTTAAGGCGATGCTGGAAGGTCGGCCAAATTTGTTCGAGGTCGATAAAGCAGTCTGCTCAATTTCATGACATTTGATTAATATGAAAATTCTACAGTTTATATGTGCAAATTGAAAGTATGGCACCCTGCGGACAACATAAAAGAACAACACTGAATTGTTAGAACTAGGATAAAAGCCTATAAAAAAAGTTATTCACTTTTAAA